ATCGAATGCGGAGAAGCTGCTGGTGACGTCGATGAGGAGTTTGTCAGTGTCGTTCCAGGGAGAATCGATCTCGGTACCAGTGAGTAAGGCGAAGACTGCGTCGACAGCGGGAGGTGTGGGGACTCCGGGCGGTGGTTTGAGGAAAGCTACGACGGAGAGGAGGAAGCTCACGCCAGTAAGGGACCCGCGGAAGAGGCAGAATTCGAGGCCAAGTGAACAGCAGCAGCAGCGCTGGCCGGGGAGATCAAGGAGAGACAATTCGAGTTTATTGACTCAAAGTTTAGATTACGGCGCGGAGAGATCGAAATTCAATGGATCTGGGATTGCAATTCAAAAATTGACGAAATCTATGCTTGATGAAAATAGTAGAAACGAGTTTGGTGTTACATTGAAGCCTGAGAGTTATAATTCTGAGGTTAAAATGACTAATAAAATGGAAATTAGATCGAATCTAGCTATTCCGGTGAATTCAGATACTAAGACCGTTTCATCAGAGGGTATTGAGACTGGAAGTGTGAATGAATTAAGAGGAGGGCAACGGGGGATTGTTGTGCCTGCGAGAGTTTGGCAAGAGTCGAATAGGATACATAAAGTACCAGACCCGTCTTCACCGAGGTCAAAAGTTATTGGATTGAATAGAACTACAGGTCCTCCAAAAGTAATTGGTGCAAAAAAAATTTTGAATGAGAATCCTGTATCATCTCCTAGGGGTTTATCACCACTTCGAGGGGGGCTGAGACCAGCATCACCGAGCAAGTTGTCTACTTCTACTCCTTTAAGGGCGATCAATAGTCCGACGAGAATAAGAAATGTAGCAAGGAACGTGTCGAGTGATAATAATGTGAGCAGTATGTTGTCAATGATGAGCTTTGTCACTGATGCGAGGAAAGGAAAGTTGGGGGAGAGTCGGATTGTTGATGCACATGACCTGAGGCTACTGTATAACCGGCAGTTGCAGTGGCAATTTGTGAATGCAAGAGCTGAGAAATCGCTGTTAGTACAGGAAGAAATTGCGAAGGTATTAATTTTCTCCCAGTTGTTTTTTCCTTAAAAAAAAAGAAAAAATTCGAAGATAATCAACTTACTGTTGTTATAATGTCTTGCGAGAGTATCATGCACGATATCTATTGTTGCCTCCCTATCATGCTGAGGCTTATATTTATGATACTGAAAATGTCGAAAGAAAAGTATGGTTGGATAAAAATGGCTAAAGGTTTTTTTAGCATACTTGTTTCTAACTCAACAATGAGGACTAGTTTTAGTAGCTTCTTACATAATTGTACACAATACTTGTCTTCGGGATGCAAACATGGATTGTCTAACCCACAAGAAGTAACAAAAAAATTGTTTACTAGCCTTCCTCCTAAGCGGATAGATGGTTCTGTTCATGTCATTCCACACCTTAGATATAAAATTGGTAGATAATCTTCTATTCCTACATATTTAATTGGATTTTATGCACATGGAATCTTCATAGTGTTGATGCCTTCTCTGGCTTCTGATTGAAGCATACCATGCGCATGAACCCAAAAAATGAATATAGTATGAGTCATATATATTCACGCTGTCTCATTTTTTATAATGTTCTTGGGAGGGGATATATATATCTTTTAATTGCTTTTATTGCTCTTTCTGTCAGGTATAAAGTAATCATTCTAAACCCTTTGATCTTTGTTTACAATTTATTGGCTGTTAATGTGAAATCCTCTCCCCCTTCCCCATTGACACACACAAATACAGCACAGGCCCAGGAGATTTCTGTTTTTAATATTGAGTAGCTTTCTTCTAAAGTCAAGCCTTCAACTACAGTGGCTTAGCAGTTTTATTTTTCATTGTAGTTGTTCCTCGTGGTCTCACACATCAATGAAAATTTTCTTTCTGCACAGAAATGGATGAGAATTCATGTTGATCAGTAAAGGCTTATATTTATACTTGACTCTGACACACAGTAAATGAGAGATGAGCTTTAAATCCAGGGATCTTTATATGGAAAATTTTACAATTTGAGTAAATGAGGGATGAGAAATAATTTTTTATTATGCACATGGATGACAGTGTGGTTGTGATTGATCAGCTATTAACCAAATTTTAGGCTGTTTCCAGTAATTAGGGGCCTGTTATTGGATATATCTTACGCATAACCCTTGTTTGAGCCCCATTTTTCTATCAAAATACATTCTCAAATAGTGATTTAACCTCATTTTTAACCACACATTTTTCAAGAAAAATAATATTACACATCAATCTAAAACTTTTCATTATTTTTTAACAACACATTCTTCATCATAACACTACTACAAAATGTATTTTTATGAAAAGAATGGGGCTCAAACAAGCCATAGATTTGTTTCGGAACAAAAGATAAAACCAGGGAGTTCTATTTTAAGTTGATCAGAAACACGCGTTTCAAGTCAAATTAGGTCTTCTCAGTGTGAGACTGTGGTCTGATGATAAAACTTGCACTTCTTTATACAGACACATTTTGCTTTTCAATTGATGATTGATATGCACAATGCCCTCACACTTTGCTGCCTGCCAACACTATTGCCTGCTTATATCTTTCTCTGGTGCTAGATTACAGAGATGGTATTCATTTCACCAAATGTTACCTTGTTCTTTTTGATTTTGTTAGTGATTTGGATTTTTGATGTAGTATTCTGTGCAAAAGAATTTTCAATTTTATGTTCTCATTACACCAGAGAAGTCTATATAATGCATGGATATCTACTACCAAATTGCGGCATTCTGTCAAGTCCAAGAGAATTGAATTACAATTGTTGAGACATAATCTGAAGCTATATTCCATCCTAAAGGGAGAGGTGAGACTGTTTTTCTCTAATGATTCTTTCTAATATCACTCTAGAGCTCAAATTCAGTATTTATATTATTTGCATAGAAGTACTTTTTATATTTTTCAGATTCAATCTTGTTGAACTGTATCGGAAAATCATTTTCTTAAACAGTCTTTTATTCTGCTTTATATGTCAAAGTCTTCTGCAAATCATTTTCTGTAAACAAATTTTGAAGGTCTGATTTGATCTATTGTGCATAAATGCTCATTAGTTACTGTAAGGCAATGATTTGAATTAAATTGTGTTTATGTGGGGTGTTGCTGGTGATGCATATATTGGACATATGTAGTATTCTATTGTCTTTCAGTTCCTTCATAGTCTGTCAAAGATCTCTGTCTCTTCATGTGCATGTGTGTGAATTGGGATTGCTTCCACATCCCATCACCCCAAGTCCCCACCCCAGACTTTTATTGATTAATCTTTTTTCACAATCTGTATTTGACTGTCTCTAATTTTATTTTTATCAACAGGTCTTGAATAACATCACAATTTAAGTAATGGATTCAAGATACATATACTGGCAATATGGTTGACAATTATTGAGTATTTAGCTGTATTTGTTGAATGCAGGAACCATATTTACAAAATTGGGATCTAATTGATGTTGATCACAACAATACAGTATCTAGTGCTAAAGAGGCATTAGAAACCAGCATTATAAGCCTTCCTGTTGTTAGTGGTGCAAGGGTATGTTGATGCTATTTCCTAACAACTAAGACATTTCAGTTGTCGAGACTTGTCTAATTTAGTATGTACAGGACTTGAAATTGCTTTCTTTTTCTTTTTCTGGGTCACTATAAGTACAGGCTAATGTGCAAAATGTAGAAGAGGCCATTTCTTCAGCTGTTGATGTGATGCAAGCAATGGCATCTTCAATATGCTCTTTGTCAACTAAGGTGATTCCTCTTCTAAATTGGATAAATGAAATGTGAATTGAATATTTTCTGTTGTAATCTGGCAGATTTTTAGGGTCTGTCTTGAACCTCCAAGAATTTTCTCCAGGCCAAAATTTGAAAAAGGTTGAACCAGTTCTCTTCACTTGTCACAGTTGCCAAACTTCAAGTAAACTCATTCCACTATGTTCTCACTAAAACTGGTTTCGAGCTTGCCAAATGCTAAGTGCTACCTTGAATTTCTTCTCAAAATTGATAAGTATAGATCTCAGCATGACATCAATGAAATTGTTGCAAATTGTACCAAAATGTTATCCTCAAGAGTTGATAACTGCTGCAAATACATGTCATCGTCATTCTATTGTATCTTATTTGCTTTCTATAAGAAAACACAAGTATTTGTGATTCCACTTCAGGCGTATTCTCTTTAAACATCTGTCATTATCAGTGCCCACTTTGATAGTGTTCCAACTTACATCAAGACATTTATTTGAAACTCAGAAGTAATTATTTATTTTTTTTTTTTTTGAACTTTACAGTTTATCATCAAATATGAAAGTTTCTTATATTAGGCCATGCATTTGAAAAGTCATGGATGTGCAACATGCACTGTGATCTATACTTAATGCTCATTCCCCTTTTTTTAAAACCCCCCCCCCCCCCCCCCCACCGTGCAGCTCTTTCCTCTCACTTGAAGGGAAAAACAACAGAAAATGAGCAATATATGAACCCATTGTTGGATGTTGTTTTAACTAGGACTCAAGATATCTTTCTTTTAGGTTCAGGTTTAGTGATTTTCATTTTTATGCTTAATGTGGGACTTAGACTGAGAAAATGCTTAACTTTTTCTTTCCTCCACTTCATCAATGAGAAATAGATTTTCTGATGACATTACGTGGTGTTGTATGCAATTGAAATTCTCATAGCAAAGTTTGGACCTCAAAACTACTTATCTTATCATTTGAAAAATGTTTCCATGCACAAATATATATCTCCAGTTGCGCCAAATTGCAGTGTCCACTGGTGGATTCAAGAATTGGTGATAACCGATAATGTGATTCTCATCAAGGATAAAACCACAGGTTTAAAAACAGGGGCGCCTATTTTTAACCCTGTTGGGACAGGGAGCAAGGTTCTCTGATCAAAGGGAAAAACAGTGTATTAAATTGAATATATATTTTGGATGCTGTTAACTAGAACTGAGATCGATGGATTTTTATTTTTTTCCCCTCTTTTTTGAGGTAATGGAACCCTACTAACTGCTTTACTATCCATTTAACCCTTTTGTTTTATTTCTATTGAATTATTTACACCCACAGGTTGAGCAAATGAACTTTTTGGTTTCTGAACTTGCAAACTTTAGTGCTAGAGAGCACAGTTCACTTGATGAATGCAAAGATAGGTTGTCAACTAGATTCATACCCTTGCAGGTAAAAATGAGCTTCAATTCTACCAGAAACTTTTTATTTAACCGCTTAAAGTGCTAATAAGTATAGACTTTGAGCGTGTTTGGATAAGCTTTAAAGGTGTAAGTAAATACCAATTATGTAATTTTTAAGAAAAAAATTATTTCTTCAAAGAGATAAGCCCCTGTTTAAGCTCCATTTTAATTTTAATGCATTTTTCTCTTTCTTCTTTTCAATCACATATTTTTCAATAAAATAATATTACACGTAAGCCCAATGCTTTTTCTTTCTTTTTAAATCACACATTCTCCAAAAAAATCACTAAACCAAATTACATTTTTTTCTAAAAACTAATTTTAATGGAGTCCAAACCGGGACTAAGTTACTCATTTCGACATTAAAGTCTTTCAAAATGGAGAAAAAATTGACTTAAGAAAAAGTAACTTATATAAACATTTGGTAATAAACAACTTACTTATAAATAAATTTTACTTGGGCTTAAGCTTATCCAGATATGCTAGGCATGAGTTTGCATTTGAAGCCAGTGGTTCCTATAGAAAATTCTGTGCAGCACTAACACAAGTTGTCTTAACAGGTGATACATTGTAGCCTGAGGACCCAATTATTACAATTACGTGTACATGCGAGCTCGACAGAGAAATTGTAATGGTTGTCCCATTTTTACTGCTTACCTGAAATACTAACATCTTCAATAGCTGCTAGTTTGTTTCCAGCACCAAGAAAGAGCTGATGTAAAAATATTTCATACTTGTTTTGGGTCGAAATGCCATAGAATGGCCAGCCTCCTTAAGGATTCACAGAAAGCAACTCCATAATGTATTTTTTATGCAAATATGGTAGGAAGTCTTCTTTCTTAACAGAAAATTTAGATTGTATATAGGGCTTATTTCTATTGTTTCTGTTACATGTGAACTCTTGTAGTAATATTTCCAAGTTTCATCATAATTGTTCTGTGCAAAGTATTATCTGGTCTTGGATTGTGTTATAAGGCTTGTTGTATAGGAGAGTGATACTTGAAAAATTATACTTCTAAAGAGCTAAGAGTGATATATTAGCGAGATTGTACAAAATGTTGAAGTAATGAAATGTTATGTAATTTGGTTTCCAGTTTACTCCCAAATTAAAGGCATAATTTTATTTTATTTTTTTATTAAAAAAAATAATAAAGAAAAAGAAAACACCTTATTATGGGGTACCCTTAATTACTTTGGAAATCTGAAGTGGTCTATCTATTGAGATGCCAAATATAGCATGGTACACTAGCATGAAAATTCGATTATATTCAATGTTACCTTCTCAATTAGACGTCCTATCCGATTATTCGCCATAGTATATTTCGTATACTATGCATGAATCATAATGACACACGACAGTATTTAAATGGATATCGATGCACCGATCATGTAATGGAATCATATCCCGAATATTTCAATATTATGCAGATATTCGGCAACAATATTATACGTCATGTATTCTGTACCAATGGTACATCTTGTATAATTATATGGGGGCATATTGTAACATAAAATGTGTTATTTCATATTGCAGTTGAAATGCTACTTACCTCTATCCCTGTCTACCCTAGCACTCACGTCATTGTTCTTCCACATTTCGCACAAATAATCCACCGAGTATAGGATTCATTACCATCTAGACATAGTTGATTGGACTAAAGATACCAAACACATGGTAGGTAATTAGCACAAAACGTCTCTATTTTTCAATGTTATTGTACAAAACGTTCATACCTTTCATTTTTTTATTTTTATTTTTTATTTTTGCATTTTCACCATTATTTTCACATTTTATTGCGGAAATTATCATTTTCATCAAATTTCTCGTATAAAATGACAGATATACCCATTTAAATAAAACAATAAAAAAAGCAAAGAAAAGATAAAGAACAAATTTACAACCATAGTCCCAAACTTTTTTAAAAAGTGCAAATGAGTCCAAATAAATTATTAAAAAGGTAATTAGTACAAAACATTTCCATCTTTCATTATTATTGTGCAAAACGTCCACACATTTTATTTTTTAACATCTCACTTTTATAATTTTATTTTTATATTTCATTGTAAAAATCATTATTTTCATCAATTTTCTCAAATAAAAGCTATAAAATAAAAAATATATCCTTCTATTTAAATAAACAAAGGTAAAGAAAAAATTACAACTGTACTTAAAATAAAAAAAAACAAATAAAAAAATAATTTTCAAATAAATAATTAAAAAATAAAAATCATTTTCTTTTTTAATTATTTATTTGAAATTCATTTGTGCTTTTTTGAAAATTTTGGGAATATAGTTGCAATTTGATCATTATTTTTCTTTTCTTTATTTTCTTTTGTTTAAAGAGGAGTGTGTATTTCTCATTTTACAACTTTTAATTGAAAAAATTGATGAAATAAATATTTTTGTACCGAAATATAAAATGAGGGTGAAAATGTCAAAAAATGGAAGGGGAGACGTTTTGCACAATAATAATGAAAGTAGGGATGTTTTATACTAATTATTCTTTTAATAATTTATTTGAACTCATTTGTACTTTTTAAAAAAGTTTGGGAGTATGATTGTAATTTATTCTTTAATTTTTCTTTTCTTTTTTATTGTTTTATTTACATGGGGGTAAATTTGTCATTTTATACGAGAAATTTGATGAAAATGATGATTTCTGCAATAAAAAGTGAATGTAAAGATGAAAATGCCAAAAAAATTAAAGGTGATGACGTTTTGCACAATAACACTGAAAAGTTAGAATGTTTTGTGCTAATTAACCTTCATGGTTGGAGAATGAAATTATGTTTGGAGGGTCGATATCTGAAAACTAAAAGGCCAAATGCATGAAATAATTAGATTTTGGATTGATGCAACGATCTCGACATTGAATATATATAATACCGTTTGCAAGCTTATTGTCCACAAGTTCAATGCTTTTTACATATCTCAATTCCAAATTACATTTTAACCTCAAAAGTTCTTAAAAACTCTATAATATTCCCAAAAAATTTCTAATAGTCATATAAATTTTCTACGATGTTACATTTCTAACTCAAAATGTGATCGTTGTATGTGATTTTGATATGTATTTTACATTTTGAATGAACTACATGGGAAGGCGTTGCTCGTGAAAAACGTATTTTCTTAGAACACTTAATTTTCTTTGTTACGCCCCTATCTGAACTATTTCGAAAAGTCCACCACCACATCATGCGAGGTGTGGAACACTCATCTGAAGTGGTTCCAAAGTGACTTCACCAACGGTGGCGATCTGCTATCACACTACGAGGCATAGGCAATTCAGTCATCACATTACGAGGCATATGCAATTTTGCGGGACTGACCGAAGTGCCCTTGCCTCTGAATCCGAGGCGAAATGCACTCTGGGGACCTCTGCTAGAGGATCCGCTGCCAATTTCAGAATGAGATCTTTGCCAGAATCTTTTCTGCACCTAAGGTTTAAAGTGATTTGACGTCTCCATGAGACTAGTTAATGTGACGTATCAACTTTATGTCAACTCAATTCGGGAGAAGAAATTAAACTAAAAGAAATTTAGAAGAAGATGCTTATAATTTGCTACATTAACATAATATAGTGTAGTGTTTTGATTAAAATTGGCCAGTAGCAAGGATTCAGAGCTACTAAAGATTGTACCCATTGAACACTTATCGAAGCCCTCCATTTTCGGAGGTGAAGAGGTGCTATGGATAGAAGGCACCCCGGTATGGATGTAGCCCATCATCGTCTATCTAAAGGATCAAACACTTCCTACTTCTAGAAGCGAGGCGAGAAAGTTAAGAAGAAGGGCTGCGCACTTCGTCCTGAAAGAGGATATGCTCTAGAAAAGAAGCTTCGCCTCACCACTTCTTCGATGTGTGGGAGGCGAAGAGGCTACATATATACTTAGGGAAATCCATGAGGGAATCTATGGAAATCACTCCGGAGGAACGGCTCTGGCGCACAAGGTTCTCCGTCAAGGCTACTTCTGGCCGACCCTGAAAAGGGATGCTTGCCAGTTTGTCCAGAAATATGACAAGTGCCAGTGCTTCTCAAAGATTCAAAGGCAGCCTTCTTAGAGCCTCACCGTAGTGACCAGCCCCTGGCCATTCGTCAAGTGGGGCATCGACTTTATTGGTCCACTCCCAAAAGGAAGAGGAAGCGCGACGTTCGCCATTGTCGCGATTGACTACTTCACCAAGTGGGGTCGAGACTGAACCTCTTGCCAAGATCACTGAGGCGAATACTACGAAATTCGTCTAGAAGTATATCATTTGTAGGTTCGGCATTCCTCACTCCTTAGTGTCCGACAACGGGAGACAATTCGACAACAGGAAAATGCGAAAATTGTGCGACGAACTGGGGATAAAAAATGATTTCTCAACGCCTCATCACCCGCAGGCAAATGGACAAGTTGAGGCAGTAAACAGAACTATCAAGCATACCCTAAAAAGGAAGCTTGACACCTCAAAGGGGGCTTGGGTAAATGAGCTTCCCCACGTCCTCTGGGCCATCAGAACCACCAGCCGAACTACAACAAGGGAAACACCATTCTCAATGACCTACGGAGCCGAGGCCATGAGCTCGATCGAGGTTGGGGTCCCATCGCACCGTCGAATATACTTCAACAAGATCAGTAACGACGAGGCCCGAGTAAACGAACTCCACCTCCTTGAAGAAAGGAGGGATACTTCCCAGGTGAATTTGGCAAAGTATCATAAAAAGATGACCCGCTATTATAACTCCAAGGTCAAAAATCGAACTCTTCATCTGGGGGACCTCGTCCTCAGAAGGGTCTTCCAGTCATCAAAGCCAACTGGGTCCGGAGTGTTCGGACCGAAGTGGGAGGGTCCTTACCGCATCCGTAGGGAATCCCGACCTGACACTTTCGAAATTGAAGACATGGCAGGGAAAGCACTACCTCATTAATGGAACATCGAACACTTGAGAAAATACTATCCGTGATAAGCTTTTGTTCCGATCCGATCTCAATGTTGTCTAATAAATGTATGTCTTGATCCGATCTCGTTTGTAATTTCCCTAGTTTACTAAGTGCTGAAAATGCCTTAGTAAAGGGTAATGTAACTTTTCTAAGTAATGATACTTCAGTTCTTTGTCACATCGGTTAGTAAATTGTTACCACAGTCCTTCAATATGTTTACTTAAGTGATCCGATCTTCTGATTATTTTTAAGAGGTGCTTAATCTTATGTGCTTGTCATTCATATGTGTAAACAAGATCAACACGATAATAAAACAGAAGCAACAATACTTAGCAAAAATTTCATTTTATTCACTTGAAATTGAATTACAAAAAAGGCCGAAGCCATTACAAGATTAGCCCTATTCTACAGGATGGCCTTCACCACCCGCCTCGGGAGCTTCTGGAGCATCCTTGGAAAGCTTATCAGGCAGGCCTCCAGTAGGTCCCCCGAATTCTGCCTCTAAAGAAGAGATGTCCAGAGTGGGGTGGACCTTTTTCTGCCGACCCAATAAGGCTTGGGCACTCCACGATGCCTAAAAATTTGCAAAGTCGTCGTATAGGGGATGCTCCTCGAAGTGGTTAATGAAGTTTTGAACAGCCACTTCCCCTGCTGGCTTCAGTTCCTCCTTCAAGGAGGCGATTTCCTCAGATTGGGCCTCCACCCCTCAGCTCCTCTTTTTCCTTATTGGAGGCCTCCAGAGCCTCCGTGGCGAGCCAGTGGTGCTCATTGGTGTGATCTACTCTTCGGGTCATAGCAGCCACCTGGTACTCTACTTCATAGAGCTCTTTCTTCAGCCGCTCTATGTCTTCTTTAGCAGCCACCAGCTGGGCCTCAACCTCCCTCCTTCCTTTTTCTTCCTCTATGGCCTTGACCCGGCCCTCCCTCATCGCATTCCCATATTGCATCGCCTCTTCGAGGCGCTTGGCAAGGTCCTCCCTCTTGGCATTGAGGTCTTTCACCAAGCCTTCAAACTGGATGCTGGTGCTCAGAGCTTGGGCCACACAGGCACTATTGGCTGCCACTAGGTCCTCAACAGTGTAGGAG